ACATACCTGTAGAATTAAACCACAGTTATTCAGAATTGAGGCAGACTTCAGGGTACTTACTTGGGGCTTCATCAAGACCCCTTGGGTAACTTTAAGGGAAAAATAAATAGCAACATCTTCCATTAAGAACTTTTAATAGTGATCAGTTTATACAGTAGGCCAATAAGTACACAGGGACCTTAGTGTGAACATTTATGGTTCTAACCAAAGTAACTTATGTAGATAAATACAAAGCAACAGAAGCTACGTTGATCCATTAGAAAAAGAAATCCAAAAATACAAAGGGCCAATGACTTTATTTAGATCAACCCAAATGACACAACAAATGCACAAGCTATCATATTTTCCAAAATTCTTCATCATGTCAGGTATTAAAAAAAATGAATGACTGGGGAAGGATGATGATGATGGTGGTCGTCGTTATCATCATCATCATCATCATCATCATCATCATCATCATCATCATCATCTCAATATTAGGTCAAACATTACAGCCATATATTCTAATGCTTAGATTCAGTCTTAAGATGACATTTGTGGACTGCATGAATGTATCAGAGTTAAGTGCAATCCATGTCAGATTTTACCTAAAGTTTTAAGACAAATCAAACTGTTGCTCCCCACAGCTCTGAAAACCCAAAGACATCAGACTTCAATCTGTTTTTTTTTTACTACTACTAAAGCTCAAAGGCTTATGTCCATTGGAAGAGAAGAGGAGAGAAAATAATCTAACCATTCTTACATCAAGAAACTTAATTTGTAATTTTGGGTATTTGAAAAAATGGTTTCTTTTCTGTTAGAAAGGGGAAATATACAGTGTCTGAAATAACTTCTTGGACAGCTGCCCTATTAATGTACCATGTATTCTATACTATTAGTTACTGTACCAGATACGTTACTATATGAATGTACTCACAAGGATTCACAAAGAAAAGAATAATACTATTATTGTCATCAAATCAGGCAAGCAAGGAAAAAAATAGCAGATGAGGCTATTTCTCCATATAAACAGAAAAATATTATTTTATTATGTATATAATTACAAATACCAATGATGACAAAAGAATATCTTGTCTGCCCTGCTTTATTTTCTCCAGCAAAAATAAATTAGTTCAAGACTTGGATTTTCTAATACACTATCTCGATCCTTGATTGATTAAAGCACATTTTAATTACAATAGGCTCCATGCTCCTGCATTTTACCTTAGAGTACGCATATTGATATTTATTAATGTGTGTCAGTAAAAAGAGGGTGGGAGAGAAAGGAATGGAAAACTTACGCAAACGTAATGACAGTGAAATCAAGCCAGTTCCAGGGATCTCGGAGGAAGGTAAAACCATCTATACAAAAGCCCCTTGCAATTATTTTTATAAGTGATTCAAAGGTATATATTCCTGTGAATGTATATCTGGTAAAAACAAACAACATATTAATTCTTAATGCAAATGGTTTTTAAAAACTCAATTATGTCAGAATTGCCATCCTGGATTTTTACCATGCCTCCCTTTATGGATGGTATGGGACTCCTTCCCATGTTATTGAAGAAATGAAAAGTACCAATAGAAAAAAGCCCATGCTTTACTCTCTGCTTCCCAGATATTAAGGCAACATGTGTGGGAAGAAACCATATTATATGCTACCAGGAGATGGTCCTGCAAGAACATGTAACTGCAAGAACACAAGAGGCCCTGCTGTATCCTCCTGCATGCAGAAACTTCTAAGAAGAAGCTTGTCTCCACTCAAATTTTAAGTGAGAAGCTAGAAGTCATCAGGGTTATTGCAACCATGGTATAAAGATGGTAGCCTTTTCTTCATTGAGGCTCAGAAGCATACTATTTTTGAACATGTAAATACGCTAATCATCACTCACCCTAGCCTATTTCCAAGCTGTCTATCCTACATCATCTTGTGGGGCCACTTCACAAACTCTTCCCACATACATTGTGGGAAGAGTTTGTGAAGTGGAACGGCAAGGTTGATTTTTGGAATGGAAAGAGATAAATCAATTGGATACATGCAGATCTTTGCTCATGGAAGTTCACTAGATACAGCCATGCTGTATGTACGTTGTACATGAGCATGCATATGAGCTAATTATATAAGCTCTTCTACATCCCACAAAAACACATTTAAACATGCATTTAAGAATAATATTGAACTTACTCTACATTCTTTGTCCAATCAGGGGGGTTACTTAGGGTCATAAATACGCAGTTGGTCAAAATAGTGCACATAATGAGCATGCTGAATAATGTGGGTTACATTATTAAGGAACATATAGTATAATGTTTTTTACAATTATAAATAAATAAATGTTAATAGATTGTTCTGTTTTTATTACATATATATCTAAGATAATATAATACAGTTATGGGACAAAGTATACAAATTTCTAAAGATCCAAGACTATATCATATATAAGTAAAATAAAAGCAATTGAGATGAAAGAAAGTTCCATTTCATTCCACAACAAACCTCTGAATATTTGTTTTGATTTCATTTTTGGAAACAGGCAAAAGGTATAATTAATAAACTGTTGCAGATGGAATAAAAAATCAATAGCTAATCTGGATACAAAAATACATACTAAAGGGCATCTAATCATGCTTTCTGAAATAAATAGAAGATAATATTCCACACAGTTTTGCCAGCAAATCTGGAGAACAACAGAATGGCCAAAAGAATGGAAGAAGTCAATGTCAGTCTACATACCAATAGCAAAAAAACTGCAAACCACTGTACATATCCTTAACTTCACATGCTAAGAAAATAATGCTTAAGATCATCCAAATGAAGATTACAGCCCTATATGGAAAGGGAGATGCCAGATGTTCAAGCTGGTTTTATAAAAGGCTGAAGAATAAGAGACATTATTGCTGATGCATGCTGGATAATTGAGAAAGCCAAAGAATACCAAAAAAGAAGTCACTATTGATTATAGAAAAGCCTTCAGTCGTGTTGATTGTGTCAATCTATGGAATATGCTTAGGAAAATCGGAATCCTAGAACATCTCATCTATCAACAATAAAAGAACCAACAGTCAAGAAATATGCTGTAGATTAGTATTTTGTAGGAAAGCAACAAAGGCTTTGGAAAAGATATTCTGATGCTGTGCCATGTCTGTACCTACAAAGATCAGAATTGTGCAGGCAGTATTTTTCCTTGTGACACTTTATGGAAGCGAAAGTTGGACTTAGAAGAAGCAGGATAGAAAGAGTATTGATGCTTTTGAAGTTTGATGTTGGAGAAGACTCCTGAGAATACGTGGATAGCCAAGAAAACAGACAAATGGATCACTGAACAAATCACTCAAGCTCAAATTATCATTCTTTGGACACATTATGGGAAGACCCAGCCCCCTTGAGAAGTCCATAATACTGTAAAAGGTGGAAGGAAAGAAAGGAAGAGGTTGACCAACAGCAAGTTAGATAGACTCAATTATATCAATGATAGGCGCATCACTGGGAACTCTGGAGAATCAGGTTGGGGACAGATCATCCTGGAGAAGTTCTATCTATGTGGCTGCTAAGAGTTGACATCACACTGATGGCACATAATCAATTCATTTTCAATGAAGTATTTTAATAGCACTGCATTCTGAAGGAAGAGCTATGATACATGCATATCTACTATGCTATGCATTATTTGCAACCTCAGCATCTGGATATTTATATTTGCAACTAAGGAGGAACATATATGTCCTCTAGAAAAGAAACGTAGTCTTGATATTTAAATATTTCTGGTTTAAGCCAAAATATTCCAGTGTAATTAATATTAAAACATAAGCATTTATTTATTATACTGCATCATCCTGGTTAAATGGTAGAATCAAAAACTTTGGATCTGCACTGAAGTGGTGATATCCAGTGTGGGAGAAGTCCTAATTGTATTTCCAACCCCAATTTTGCCTTAGCAACAAAGAAGAATCAGGATTCTATTCAAGAAGCAACGAAGGGGAGAGATGCTGGATAGAGAATGTCTCCTTTGGCCCCAGTTATTGGCAGTAGAAGACCTCCTTGTTGGGGCATGCTTGGGTGTGTATGGAGGTGAAGACTTGGGAGTGTGGGTGGGGGTCTGGGATAAAGGATTTAGCCAGCTTCCAAGTTGACTGTGACAGGTTGGAGATGCAGAGCTCCACTGGCAATCTATAACAAAGCTATTTCTGAAGACAAGTGTACCAGTCTTTTGAATGCCCATGTACCCTAGTTTCATTGCCTACAATAAGATTAAGTGCCAGAGACAGATCTCATAGCACTGTGCGTGCCAGCAGAAGGTGGAAAATATCACTTTTCACTCAACACAGAAGATGGGCAGAGATGGCCCTTGTGGTAGGACAGGTTGGTTTCACACGTCCTCAATAAATGGTTGTAGGATGTTTTTGTCCTGGAATAAGCAGGACATGTAGATGAGCCTTTAGTGAATTTTATTATGCCAAAAAAAAAAAAAGTACTCTTTGCACTCAGTTCTATAAAATATTTTTTGCCTAATGATATTCCATTACTTTATCAAATAGCAGAGAAACATTGATACTAGGCTATATGTATGACAAATCTGTCCAACAAACTTGTAAACTATCTGTTTCTGACTAATAGTCATACCATTCAGACATTGAAAACAGAAATCTGAATATATAATACAGAAAATACCAAAATTCCTTATTTTATATCATATGCAAAGAACTAGAATATTTAATTATCATGTTCAGTAATTTCTTTGATCTTATATTAGCTTTTTCCAAGTTTTTTCTTGTTAAGATGCCTAACATCCAATTTCTAGGAAAAATCCCCAGGAATAATGACTTATTGCCTGACTTAACTGCCTTATAGTAGAATCCAAACTATGTTTAGTGAAAAGGTGAAAAAACATATATAGGACAATGGTTTAATGCAATCTTTTCCAGTTTACCATTGATAAATTATAGTAGATAAATTTTAGGATCTAAGACTTTAATATATTTAGATAATTTAGACTGTGATTCTGTAATCACTTACCTAGATCTTCAGAATCCATTAAACTTACTACAGAGTATACCTGTACAAGACAACTCTTTTAAACTACTGTAGTAATGCAAAATGCTGAGAAATTTTCAAACACTCTTGACTGTGCTTGAAGTCCATCAAAGAATTGGAAGTTTAAACAGAATAGCAAAATCAGCATCCTTGAAGCATCCTGGCATAAGAATACACCCAATTTTCAAATTGTTTTTACACTGCAGGCCAGTACTTCATAGCAGGGTATTTCATAAAGAGAATCAAAAGCAGCCACATCACTGAATTATGGGACCACCAGTGCTCATTCCCAGAATGCACCAGGCTCTTAAGGCCATTTGCTTATTTGAGTATTCTATGGACATTTGTCCTCTGCATTTCCATGAATTTTAGATTTTAATTATACAGTTAAATAGTTTGGAACAACTTCCTCTTCAGCCTAACAATATAGAAAAAGGTATAAAATAACAAGGTATAGTAGTAAATTGCTATCTTGAAAAAACTAGAAAACTACTTGATAACAACCACTTGAAAAGGATATGAATGTACCAAAATCTTAATAGCTATTTTTCTAAGAGGGTTGAAAGGAGTTAAAATGTACAGGGCAGGGGTGGCACTGAATCGGAAAATTGCCTTCCCTCTATTCAATACTATAAAAGTCTGGAAGAAAAAAAGAAAAAGTGAAAGCAATGTAAACATATGCAATGTTATATTAATTTTTCTGTGTTCGCTTTTTCCAGTGAGGAAAATCCAGACATCCTTTCACTGACTTTTCTAGTAAAGAGACTTGTTATTATTTACTGTATAAACAATACAGGTAGTCCCCAGTTTAAGAATGAGTTCCGTTCTCAAGGTCTGTCCTTAAGTCAAATTTCTATGTTAGCTAGGAAATTGTATAATACTGTATAAGTAGTATTGTGTATTTAACTTGAACCATTGTGTACTTAGCTCAAATTTTGCTACAATAGGCTCTGTTCTTAACTATGAGCTATCCGTAAGCTGGGATAACTAACTTGGAGACTCCCTGTAATTCCTTTGGCCATGGCATGGAAACATAATATCAAAGAGTATGTAAATTGGAAGGAATCTTATCAGTCATCTAGTCTAACCCTGCTGTCTCCATTTGAAAAGTTCTAGCTAGATTATTGCTTACCAGCAGCCACTGTCAGGAAAGTTCCTTCTAATATTCAGCCTCAATCTTCATTCACTTAATTCCAACCCATTGTCCTAGCCTAACTTTCAACAAAGAATAGGCTGTGCCCCCTTGAAAGTGACATGCTTCTTCTCTAATGTCCTTCCCCCCCCCAAAGTCTTCTACTGCAAGCTAAACATGCCCAGCTCCTTTAATCATTTCTCAAATTTTAATTTACACATCCTTTATCATCCTGGTACTTTCCCTTGAACGCTGTCTGGCTTCTCTAATATATGGTTGTTTTTTAAAGTGTGGTGCTCAGAACTGCATGCAGTACTCAATTACCTTCTACAATGCAGAGGTCAATGGAACTATGACCTCCCATGATTTGGATGTAATGCTTCTTGGAGTGCAGCCCACTGACATGTTTAGCTCATGCTTCTTGCTTGTATACACTTTCTAGTGGTTCACTAGCATTCTAAAATGCTTCTTACATGTACTGCCACACAACAAAGTTTTTCCAATACTATATCTATGCATTTGAGTTTTCCTACCCAGATATAGGACCTTATTTGTCACAGTTGAATATCATACAGTTGGATCTAATCCAATGCTCAAGCTTGCCAAGTTTATTTTGAATTATGATGTTCTCCTCTTAGTGTTTAGTATTCCCCCTAGATTTGTCATCAGCATTCCCTTTCATCTCATCCTCAAAATCATTTATAAAATTGTTGAATAGCACAAAGCCAAAATGGAGGTCTGGAAGATCCCACTTAATTCCTCTTTTCAGGTCAATGCAGAACTTTTACAAGAACCATTTGAAGATGGTTGTTCAATTAGCTGCAAATTCATTGGACTGCAATAACCTCTAGCTCACATTTATTCATCTTACCCACAAGAATATCATGAATATCACTTTACTTAAATTAAAATGCATAGCGTTCCTTCCGTATACCAAACTAGTCACTCTATCAGAGTAGAGATACTGACCTGACAGCTTTTGACAGACCCATACTGGTTCTTGGTAATAGTAGTATTTGTTTCTGAGTGTCTGCAGACTATTGCATGACAATCTATTAACTTCCCTGATGCAGACATTAAACTAACTAGTTTGTAGTTTTGTTGCTTTTTGATTGACTCCCACACAAATTCCAAACTCACTTTTGAGTGAGCTTCTCTAGTTCCTTCTTTGATGGCCTTTGGGCAGCAGGCAAAACCTGCTTTCTTTAGACAGACATTTAGGCCTCTTGCATTGATTATCAATTGTTCTTTGTTTAATTTTAGCAGGCTCTTGTTTTTATTTGGTCTTTGTGGAAAGTAAGTTGTATCTGGATAAAATGTTTTTGTATATTTTAAATTTATGTTTAACAGCTATTAGCCCCTTTTAGTGAGGTATAAATGTAAACAACTACATAAACTTCACCTTTATATAAATAGCTTCACCATCTTAGGTATTGATTTAGTGTGAAGATTTTACTTTTCAAAGCTTTGCCTGGCTGTTTTACTCAAAATGTAAAAAAAGCAGCAGAATCTAGTGTGGTTAAGTGGGGGGTGAGGTGGACACATTGTCTCATGGGGAATGATTTTAAAATAGTGGAATATCAAAAATCCATGGGGCAGAGTCAACTCAAGAATTAAATATAATTATTCCAGATTATTAATCCTGATGCATGAAGTCAGGGGTGAAGGAGAAGAAAGACTATCTGATGGAGCAGAAAACTACACATAAGCAACTACAGTAGCTAGAGGGAAAAAATGTTGCTCTATCTGTACAGGAAGTTCATTTTCTGTAAACTACGCCATGCATCTCTGGGGCTAAAAGTTTGTGTCTAAACAATAAACTCAATGTGAACTTCCAAAGTCAAAAACCAAACCATATGAAAGACTTGTTCTTTATATAGAATAACAATTATCAGTACATAATTCAGCTAAGTGATCAAAAGAATCAGAAAAATTTGGACATTTTTAAGAGAAATTGAAAGAGAAATTGATAGCATTATTTGGTCTATAGAAAAGTGCTTTGCCCCTCTACCAGGTGCATGAAGAGTTACACAGGCTGAAAGTACATACATTGTCAGTTACCATATACATAGAATCAAATGTTAAACTCTTAGGCAGTGATTCATGTATCTTCTGTTATCCTGGGAACTTAAAACAGCAATATGATATAGATCTGTGTTAGGAGCAACATATACAATTAAATAGGGGCAGGCGAGTCAAGTGAAAGTCTCATCAAGAGAGGGCCCCAACTCACATGTACTTTACATTACATCCATAATGAAGCAGTTACACAAAACCAGCTCAAAGTCCACATTTATCACAAACTCAGCTCCAAAAAATTGGCACTTATACAAATGCCACCATGGGATATAATACATTAATATTAGAAAATTCTAGGTCAGATGAGCTTCCAGTTAAAGTATATCCCTTTCTATATGGCCGCTGACTGCCCCCACAACTATTTTTTTTATTAAAACTTTTATTAAGATATATGAAAAGCACATAAAATACAAATCAGAAAGTACAGAAAAGAGAGAAGATAGAACCAAAAGAAAAAGACAAAAACTAAAATAGTGAGAATAGACAGAAAGATGAAACAGAAAGTGACTTCCGATCCCCACAACTATTTTTGTGCTGCTCAGCAAGTGTCCTCTCCGTCCTCTCCTTGAGCCAAAGAACTCTCCTTCTGACTGGGAGCCCAAAAACAATCAACCACTTAGTTCCTATACCCTTTTCTCCTCTTGCAAGGTACCATTATGTGAACCCCCTGATCAGCCACTATATGGAGGAAGTGGCAATGCTGCTCCTCACCTCATGTTGTTATGAAGGCCTGGGAGGGGAAAAGGGATGGCCGCAAAGTGCAACAGGAGGGTTCAGTTAGGACAGGAAACCCCAGAGGCAGTCATTCAAACCAATGGCTTTAAGTAAAGTGTTATAAAACTATTTTTGCAGCTTTCTCTTGAATAGGCTCTGAGGGAATATTCAATTGACTCAGCTTCCCTAGCATCACTTGATGGTGTGAACAACTAAGGTGAGTTTATTTATTTATTTAATCGATTTACATGATTTCCCATCTTGCAAATGCAATTCTGGGCAGCTAATGACATATTAAAAACAATAGGAAAAAAACTAGCAAAAGGATAAAAACCTACAATGGTAGCTGAAAACAAAGCCAATAAACACTCAACAATAACATCTCACAGGCCATCTAACCTTTCAACCCCCATGCTCTGGAGGGCTTCAGCACTTCAGCACTTTGTGAAATGTGCTGAAAAATCTGAAAATGTGCTGAAATCTTCAGCACTTTGTGAAATGCCAGCACAGTTGGGGAAAATCTAACCTCAGGTTGCAGAGTGTGCCAGAGTATAGGTGCTGAGACTGAAAAGGCTCGCTTCCCATTAGATGGCATATTTTAACTGAGTGAATCTGGAGTGTGTCCCTTCTATCAGACTTGGTGGGATAGGTAGAAACAGCTAGGGTGAGGCGGTCCCACAAATAATCCAGCCCCATGCCATGGAGGGCTTTATAAGTGATAAAAAGCACCTTGAATTCTAACCAGAAGCACACTGGGAGTCAGTGCAGTTACAGAGCAGAGGTGTTAAGATAGGTGTACTAAGGTGCACCTATAACTGACACTGCATTCTGAACCAGTTGCAGCTTCCAGATGGTCTTCAAGGACAGCCCCAGGTAGAGTGCACTGCAGTAATCCACTCAGGAGGTGACTAATGTATGAGCAATCATAAGCAGTGGTTCCTGAACTACAACTGGTACACAAATTGAAGTTGTGTAAAAGCCCTCCTGGCCATAGCTGCCACCTGCTCTTCAGGAAAGGTAAACAGGAGCTGTGAATCCATGAGAACCCCCAGACTGAGCACTAGTTCAGTCTGGGGTAATGCAACTCCATCCAGAACAAAATATGGAAAAACACTGGATCCAGGGGACCCTAAAACCCAATGCCCCTCAATCTTGCGAGGGGTGAGCTGAGGCCTGTTCTTCCCCATCCAGACCCCCACAGCCTCCAGACACTGGGAGAGAACCTCTACAGAATCACTTGGTTGGCCTGGGGCAGAGATGTAGATGCTGTTGGATGACTTCACCCAGTGGCTTCATGTAGAGGTTAAACAGGAGTGGGGAGAGCATCAAGCCCTATGTTTCCCCACAGAGAAGGGGCTGTGGGATAGACCTCCCCCCCCATAAAAACCAACTGGAACTGGTCCTGAAGGAAAGAAAAAAACAAGCATATAACTGTGCCTCCCATTCTTAACCCCTGAAGTCAGTCCAGACAGATACCTTGATTGATGGTATCAAAAGCTGCTGAGAGATCAAGGAGAGTAAGGATGGATGCACTGCTCCCATCCCACTCCTGCCAGAGGTCATCCCAAGTATGAGTGATGCCATTTCAGTCCCATATCCAGGTCTGAAACCTGACTGAAAAGGATCCAGATAATCCAGATAGGACATCCAAAATGGTTGGATCTAGTAATGGCATCTTGAGGAGGGGATAAAATATAAGTAGCAGCAGGACCACCCCCTCTCTCAAGGATGAATTCACCACCATTGGTATCCAACTGCATGTTGTCTCCCTGGAAGCCTTAGCTAGCTAGGAAGGACATGGGTTCAGCACACAAGTGGCCATGCTAACAGTTCCAAGAACCCTGACCCTGGCCTTCAGGACTAACAGGATTAAATTCATCCCAGATAACCAGTAAGACTGGGCCTCAATAAAGCTCTGCAGGACCTGCCTCAAGGCTTAACTCCAACATGGAGCAAATCTGACTTTATCTGACAGATGTCTCGCATATTCCTCACAGCAGCTTGATGAAAAACTTCAGTCACTAAACAGAGATGATGGGTGGATACAATAAGTATGGGAAAATATGGAAGTTTTGCCACCCTTGCTGCCATGAGGTAGGCCTGAATAATGGCTCTAACTCACATTTGGTTGGATTCACTCCCTGTTGTCCTTTAGTGCTCAAGGCATCTTTCATCTTTCTCAGCACCTCAGTAAACCAAGGGGAGTCTGGAATCCACAAGAAGAGGGAAATCTGATCCAAAGCCCAGCAGCCCTCTCATTCCAAGTAGCAACTAAGGCTTCAGTAGGACTGTGCACCAGACCTTCAGGAAAAACCCCAAGCTCCTCTGAAACCCTGTAGGGTCCATTAGTTGCCTGGGGTAGACTAATCAAATAGAGCACACCAAGGTGCTCCAGGGCAATCAGACAGTATCTGACCATGACAGGGGAGCAGTGGTGATCTCCTCCAATTTCATATCACACCACTGCTCCGACACAAAAACCAGATCTGGCAAGTGACCATCATTACATGTTGCACCCTCAATGACCTAGGTCAGTCCATGGCTGTCATGGTGACCATGAGCTCCCAAGCTACCTCAGACTCCACTCCCAGAGAAGACAAGTGGAAGCTCCCCAAGAACATAAGCCTGGGGAACTCCACCAGCCCAGCCACAAAGTCAAAGAGCTCAGGCAGGGAGATTGCAACACAGCAGGGAGGCTGGTACAACAGCAACAATCCCAACTGATCCCTGTAGAACTTAATAAACAGGATCTTTTATCCACTTATCTGCAGGGCAGCACTTCTGAAAGCCACCAGAGTAACCCAGATTACCATAGCTTCTCCACCACCTCTGCCCTAAGGGTGGAGCACATTTCAGAGAGGGCAAACCCCCCCCCCCCCC